AGGGAATGAGCAGGCAGATTATATAGCGAAGAAGAATTTAGGAAGATAAATAGATATCCATGTATCCTTTGGGAGGGTGGAACTGTGTGAAAGAGTTAAAGAGGGCTTAATAAAAGAATGGCAGAGAGGATGGGAAGAGGAAATCAAGGGTAGACATTATTTTTCTATTCAACCTAAAGTTAAGAAAAGATGTTTTTGTACTTGTCCATCTCGTAAGGACTCCGTTAAACTATGTAGATTGAGGTTGGGGCATTGTGGGTTAAATTACTTTTTGTATATTGTAGGAAAGCATATTTCTGGATTATGTGAATGTGGGAATATGGAAACAGTAGGGCATGTGTTCTTGGAATGTAGGAAGTATAATGCAGAAAGAAAGGCACTTTTTGATAAATTGGCAGAACTTGGAGTTAAAGTGTTTTCTGTTACTGAATTGGATAATCCTAAACAGTTCTCTCTTGCATACCCTTTGGACACAGTAATAAGCATAAACTGATCTCTGAGGCAGTTCTTGCATAATACAGGACTGTATATAAGAATTTAGTTCAAACTTTGACCTGTGGAGGGCAGTAATACGCCCAGTAGCGTCTACACTGCCGGAAAGATATAAGAAGAAGAAGAAGAGGCGCGAAGAAGAAGGTTGAACTGCGCGCGCGCTGCAGAGATGGCAGAGAGCGGAGGTAAAACACGATCCGGTTTTTCAAACCTTTTTGAATGTTAGAATAACTCACAAAACATAAACAACACAAAAAGAGCGGAAAATGCTTAACTTCATATATAACTCTAGAATGTTAGAAAATATTTAGTCAGTTTTACATGTAGATAAATGTTATTGTCATATTTTCATGCGGCTAGTTCTTTAATGTTTTGAGAAACAGCCGTCATTTTGCTCTTAGAAACCACACGACTAAAAAGCAAGCCAATATAAAAACATTATATTATATACGTGTATGTATAAAATAATAGATGTTTTCTTGGTCAGCAAATCAGCATACTGCAATGATTTCTGCTGAAAATTCAGCTTTGCCATTTCAGTTTGTAAAAATATTTCACAGTATTTCTGTTTTTACTGTATTTTGATCATAGAAAAGGAGCATACGAAGTCAGCATAAGAGATTTCTTTTAAAAACATGAAACCTTTGAATTACTCCACATTTTTTGGACTTCTAGTGTATGGATATGTGAATATATTTGTGGCTTAATTTGTCTCTCTTATGACTCCAGTTTCAGTGGGATCTGAATCCCTCCAGCTGTATGAAGCACAGTTCTTCGGCTTCACCCCAGAGACCTGCACTGTACGAGTTCACGATGCATTTCGAGATTCCCTCAATCACATATTGGTCGCTGTTGAATCTGTGTTCGTGAAAAGATTGTGTCCAGGCCATGATCCGCCAGCAGAGCTCCGACTGACAGCCCGAGAGAGCACCCAAAAACTGCGGCAGTTCTTACAGGAGCGCTTTGAAATCATGTTTCAGCGCATGAAGGGGATGCTGATGGACCGCGTCCTGTCCATCCCTCACAACGTCCTGCTGCCCGATGACCAGCTGCACCAGAAGTACCCAGAAGGCAAAGAAGACCTCATGAAGCTGCAGGAATCCATTGCCAATCTGCTGCAGGCTTATGAAGCCGAGGTGTGCGCCAAGCAAGCGCTTCTCGCTGAGCTTGAGGAGCAGAAAGAAACTCAGAAACAACTGGATGAAGTGCTGAGATGGATCGAGGAACTGCGAATTTCATGGAGGCGAGAGGGAATGGGAAATGTCCAAGACAGCATTCGACACATGATGGAGGCTGTCGGCCAATTGCAGGATGTTGTAGGAAAGATTAACAAGCGAAATAAAAACCTGGATGAAGTTTGATGGTTTATTTGCAACAATTAAGACCTCCATACCACAAGCGCTGTGGTTTAATTGCATGATCCATCCACCTGGGGGAGGCAAATCACAATCTATTCGGTACAGTTACATTAACATACAAGTATCAAGATCAGTCTAGCTTCAAAGAAATACATTTGTAATCAGGCGATTTTACTCAGACATTTGAAATGCAGTCCATCTCTCCTTCCTCAAAGTCATTGGGTTTTCTCATTTACGATTCAGTGCCTTTGATGTTCAGTACAGCGAGATCTGCATTAGATTAGCCCAAATTTCCCACAGGCCTAAACTGATGTGTCCAACAGCCTGGTTGGCTTTACACTTTATAGCAAGTTTCATGTTGTTTGAGGAGATATGAAGTTCAGAGGAGAAAGATTTTAAGTTCATATTGAGTTGTACAGGACCTTATTGCCCGCAGAGGAACGCCTACATTTTGTACATAGTCTGAATCTAAATTACAGTACATGGATTGAGTTGCTAAGCGCAAATGTCAGTTTGTAATAAATGTAATAAACTAATATGCTTGTTTTGTTCGTAACTGTAAATAGCAATACAAATATTTTGTGTTTGTATGATACATTCTTTTCCACAAATGAAATGATCACTCTATACTGAAAGATATTTGTATGGAGAGGATCAAATAAATTTAACATTTTCAGTAAAGCAACACATTTAAAAAATTTTTTGTTATATTATCTTATTTTTGTTGTTTTATGAATGTTTACAGAACCACAAAAATAGAAACAAATTTTATTTCCAGCATATTTCTTAACATGTATAAATACTTGTATGAACATTAAAAGATCCAACTGCCTGTAAACTGTTAATGACTGTTTCACAGGTACATGTGCAATAATTGTTTATGGTTCATTAAACAAGCGTGAAAAACAGTGTTTAAAGACTTTGCAATCAAGATCTGTAAAGCTTATTTGAATTTTATGAAATTATCTTTAGAATGCAGTGTCCTAAAATCGCGTTTCTTATTTTTGAGTTTATTTTCACCCAAAAGCAAGATAACATTTAAATATATTGAAGAAATAATCCTCCTGAAAATCGAAATTGCATTATACTTACCCTTACGTTGTTTCAAAAACGTTTTGTTTTTTTCCTTCTGGAACAGCTGTGAGACGATTCTTCAAAAATTCTCAAAATAACAATGGGTTTGTAATGACATGATGAAAAATAGTGACAGAAATTAATTTTTGGGTAAAGGTTGGACCTTTTTCACATTGGTTAAATTACTGAAGTGGAGAATGGAAACTACAACAAATATGTTTTTTTTTCTGTCCCCATTTGCTTCAGTAGCAAAAGAAAAAAAAAATTCCAAACAAGGAAAATTTATAAACAAACAAACAGATTGATTACAGTGGTCAGATGAAAGAAAGATGTCAAATTTATTGTCACTCCCTAAGCCATTGCGTTAATCATTGCCATCACAGTTTTAATAATTTTTCTCAGAATGTGTTACTTTTTTATTTATTATATTTTTCTAAATTAAATTTAGAAAGTGAAACAATCAAACAGTGGATGACACATAATATTAAAGTGCACATCACTTAATATCTTCTCAGGTGAATCTACACTCTAAAAAATGCTGGGTTATTTCAACCCAACTTTGAGTCAAATATGGACTAACCCAACCGTTGGGTTACATTTTTACATTAAAATTTTAACCCAAAATTTGGGTTAGTCCAAATTTGACCCAAAGTTGGGTTGAAATAACCCAGCATTTTGTAGAGTGTATCTTTCATGCTTTAAGAATTGTTAGAAATCAAGATAAAGATGCTAATTAAGAATAAGCTTTATTTTGCAGTGTTTACTTTTTGAGGTTAACTGCTTTAACATCAGTACACCCAATCCAAGCTGGAAAATCCCAAAGGACAATGCTATTCTCATGTAAAAATGAATCATAGCGCTGGATTTGCTGGAGGGCATGCACCTAAACAAGGGCTGAGAGACAGATGCAGTGAAGGAGGGCTGGGTGGATTAGAGGAGGGAGGCCCTGCAACCTGCCCAACTCTACGTCTGCCTCTTTCATCATCACTCATTAAAGACGTATCCAGAGCAGCTGGGGCCATCCACAAAAAGTCATGCTGGATGGAGGCGTCACACTCCGGACAGCTTGGCCTCAATCCCCCCTGCCAAGTCAGATTAGCAGGGTCTACCAATAAAGACCCCTTATCTCCACACACCCACGCAATGACAAGCTGGAGTCAGAAAGCCCTGCCTGAGTCTGAAGATACTGAGGTGATGAGTTATGAGAGAACAGCAGAGTGGAACCGAGCTAAATTTAATAAGGTTACAACTGAGATCTGCTGATTAAGAGACAGAATGACTACATTTGCACGCAACGAAACCAACTAATGGTATCCTATAATGTCACGAAACACTGAAAGATTTCATTTATGTTACCCATGCCTGGTGTTAGAAAAGCTACAACTGTTGGGTGCCAAGCTACAAGCTAATCATAGTTTGAAGTAGTTAACGTGCTAAAGTTATACATTTGTGAAAATGTAGCTATGCTAAGGAAGAGCCGTTGCTACAGATTAGTTAACTACCACATTTTATGTTTGTGTGTGTGTGTGTGTTTATACATAAGGATGAACCAGTTTAACACTTTTCAGTGCTAGCCTACATCTCAGAGAGGAAAGTTTAGCTTGA